TGGTGGTAGTATGAGGGAAGGATTGAAGGAGGGAGAGAACTATGAGAACTTGGGCTGGAGTTCTGGGCAGCTTCTGCCTATAGCTAGAAGGCTGAACCTTGCTTGTAACTGTGGTAGGACTGATGTAGGACTGAGGAACAGGGAGGCGATGGGCTGGTGGTGGGGATTGCGAGAACTTCGTGACAGGAAATAGAAGGTAAGGATGTGAATTTATAGTCAAAGTCAAGTCATATCAAAGTTTATTTATATGTGAAGCAGCTTTACAGAAAAATCCAGGTCCGAGCCCCCATGAGCAAGCCAATGGTGACAGTGGCAAGGAAAAACTCCCTAGAAGCGAGACAGAAAAGTCAGTTCATGCTGCTGAGGTTTGCACAGTGCTGTAAGGGCATTGGATTAGATGGATGAGGGGGTTCAGACATGTTCATCCCCCCCAACATCAGTTATTCCATAACTCCATTAAATACATTGCATGATGCCATTGATATATGACTTTTGGCCTAAAATGTAATTGTGGCGCAGGAGACACGGCCCTATACATCCTTTATATGGTAGGCATTCAAACCACCTAACTAAACTCACACCCTAACACAATGACACACAATAAACACACACATTCACCTTTAACAAACAAATAACAACAACAGCAACGTCAACAACAGCAACAAGTGTCCATAGCATGGTCATACCATGCCTCTAAAGCCCCTTCTGCAGCCCGGAGCAAGTGGCAGCCACCACCATAATAATTTTTAAAATACATTGAAGGCAGAGAGGTACATGCATGGCTTTGTGAGGCAAAATAGTCCCCACAGAAAGCTTATTTTTTCTGATTTATCACTACTTTACCATCCACAGCATTACATATAAAAATCCAGAAGACATGTGTAGGTTCACTGGTGGTTTTGGATAGTAAATAAAATGGCTATATTTGTGTTGTAGACATCATGATCTCTGGTTCCTATCACCACTATGGTAAAGAAGGTTTCTCCACAGTGAAACACCACTCCAACCACATCAAACCACTCTAAATGACTTTGTTTACATCTCATTTTGAAAAATCGTTGGAATCCCTCTTTAAGAACCCTTTTTCCTTCTGTGAAGTTCTGGGATTTTCTCATGACTATATGCTGCCAGTCATATGGCCTGAACTGGACTGAACAGTAGCCTATCAGTGAAACAATACACTACAACCGAACACAAGCATGCCGTTCCTCCATTCCTCCTCATTTCACATTCTGCTTAATGCATGAGGCTGATAAGAGTGACTGTGGCTCTTTCCAGAAAGCCATACCGCAGAGAAGAGGAAGGAGGCCTTAACCTCAGCTACCTGCAAGACAATGATAATGCTTTCCTGCATGAAAAATACACAAAGTATGAAAAGATTTATTTTTGCCCAGCACTCATTTCTGCCACATCTAGTTTCATTATGTGGCCAGTTATTATTACAGACTGAAAAAAGACAATAGATTTGAAAGACATTATACTTCAACAAGATTGAAATATAGATTCAGTGGTGTGCGTGTATAGCAGGGTTTAATTAAAATCCATTAATCTCTTACTGTCACACTCGCTCACAGTTCTTGAGAAGCTGCCATATGAAGCCTTCATATGTAATTCTGTGACCGTTTTCCAGTTCCTCATTCACGTGGTTAGAAAACTGAAAAGAGCTCGGTCATGTTTCCTGTGGTTACCATGTTTTTCATCATCCACAGCTTCTAGAACAGTGATCATGTCTTTCTCACACTGTTAAAACACGAATACATTAGCACGTCTGATTAAGCCAAAAAGCGCAGTAACGTCCTTGTTTATTTTATGGCCGGTTCCTGTATTCTCTAAGGTAATCAGATGTGTTTTGTCACTCAATCGATGAATTGTTTTACAACCACTGGGTTTTACGCACCATGTTGCCAAAAAGCTTGTTTTCATCCTTTCAATTTAAAAACCATTTATCAAACTCTCTCCGCACAGTGTTTTGGTGCTGGCAATGGTGAAAAGCTGGCCCAGTATTAGTTTAATTCTGCGTGCATGAAGTACTGATCCTGGGCAAAGGAGTAGGTCTAGAAAGCTGCTCTGCATACCTGTTATTTGAAGCACTCCAGCATTAAATCGCTTTTTAATTAAATTAGATTGGCAAACAGGACATTTTTATTCGGCAGTGGTAATGAACGACTCTGACTCTGGAACCGGAGGCGACTTACTGGCCTTTTAATCACCCCTTTCAGATTGCAAATAGCACACTGCCATCGTTCAGGTCAGAGCTGAAATGATGTCTATATAAAAAGCTCATTTAATGAGAAACAAAAAAGTGGTACGTGAACATGTCCATAAGACACCTACAGATGTATGCAAAAGTTTAAACAACCCTATCAAATAACCTGTTGTTTCTAAGTTAAATAACTCTACAGGGGACATGTTTAAATATAGCAATTTGTGCTAATTTTAGTGTTCAATTTTGATTTATTTGCTGTGTTTCACATTAACAACATATAAAATGTGCCATGACTTTTGCACAGGCCACATTTCATGTAAAATCAGCAAAAAGACAGTAGTTGTGCATTGAAATGTGCAGAAGTGAGTACTCTGTAAAACATGCCATTTGACCAGGGGTACCCAAACTTTTGCATACATTTGTATAAGGGAAAAACAGCCAAAACAGGCATTTACACATATCCCCCTGCTCACCTAGCCCTGCCAACTCACACCTATGTTATAAGGAGTGTTTCAGCCTGAACTGCTTTTTGAATGAGGCACACTACATATATATCAGTCTTAAAGGCACAGTAACATCCTGTTACATTCTAAGGGATAAAGAGAGGCTGGAAATAGTGTAGAAATGAATTACTGGTTTGAGTGCATAAAACTAGGTGAGCGTGGGGAACAACCTAACATGGGGCACAAATTAACATGGACTTTTTACATTGTCAAAGAGGATCAGGCAGTGTGTGTTTCTGGCCACATTACCACATTTCCTACCACTGGTCTCCCGTGAAAATTCAGAGCGATTCATCAGCATTTTAAAGAGATCTGTGCCAAAGAGTGTTTTCGGGGCATGCAAGTCGTTTTTCTTCAACACCTGTTTTTGTGGTTACTGAGCTGTTTGCTTTAATCACCATCTTGTTGCCTACAATGTAGCACTGTTCTGAAGCAGGTGACAAGCTTACAGCAAGTGCTATCCAGGCTTAAGTACAGCCCCTGTATTGTGGGGTTAGTTCTTAAACGGTGTTACATCTAAAGCCACCTTTACTGAACAAACACACACACACACACACACACATACACAGACACACACACACACACACACACACACACACTTTCTAAACCGCTTATCCTTCTGGGTCGCGGGGGAGCTAGAGCCTATACCAGCAGTCATTGGGCATAAGGCAGGAAACACGCTGGACAGGTCGCCAGTCCATGGCAGGGCTGAACAAAGACAAATAAAGTTAATTTTGTCATATTGTTCCACATGTTTACACAGATTTTAAGATGAAAAAGAGAAAACAGGGATTATCTTTAACATTAGTAGTATCTCTTGTTAATGTTTTGGTTTTAAGTCAGTATATTAATGAAACTGACAGTTGGTAAAGCTGTAGATATTTAAAAACAATGTTCCATATTTTACAAACCCCCTGTTTGTTACAGTTAACCCACCCATGGGGTAAATTGTAACATTGCGCTTCCTGTCATTTTCAGTGAAACTCTACATGAATGATAGGTGCTAGAAACAAAGTTCAAGTGTTCTTTTGTAGCAGAAATGTATTTGTTGTTTGTATAAAATTATAATTATTCCAGCTGAGATATTTTTAAAGTTATTCAACAAAAACCAAAAGGTTGTTTACAAATGTATAGGAGCCCTTAAAAGTGCCAAGTGCAGATTTCTTATAGGACTTTCACTTAAAAGGTAGAAGACGGTATAAACCTAAAAAGTGTGAATCATTTAGAGAAAACCACTCTGAGCTGCTACTCTTTGTTCAACATTAGGGAGTCCTGCATGCTTCATATATCAGCCCCTACCAGGGAAAGCGTTTTGGACCACCACTGCTTATCCCCCTCAGCTGAAAACTGCTGTTTAATCAGGGCTGTTCAAATTGGTACGAGATGTCAGAGGCAGGCTTTCATGCTTCTCGTTTGAACTGCACTGATTCAGAAGCACTTTCATGTTCAGGTCAGTGTGTAGGTGTAGGGAGTTAATTCTGGATTTTGCCCAGAATCTGTGCCAAGCAGAGAGGAAAGGCAGCGGTCGCCCTCTAGCTGAGCCTCTGTTCAGCGCAGCCTGGATGCCCTGAAACTGCTTTACACGCCAGTGTTTACATAATGACCAACTCTGATGGGATCACCTTTACTGCCAGCCCTTTTCATCCTCTGTTCTTTGCCTGGTCTTTGTCTAAGGGGTTGTTCAGTTACCATCAGATCGTTGTTCGCCTTCAAATAACAATCTGAAGCCTATCACTGAAGAGAGCTGGCGGTGCGCGTGCTGGGTGGCCGCGTTAAGGGAGCCAAATGACCCCAAGCTGCTGGCCAACAAGGACATTTTGGCTTTGTGGTGATTTTATGTTGTTTGAAAAAGTAAAAGAGCTGAAAGATTCCCTTCTAGCTGCCTGAACTCCACCTGCGTTCATGCAAAAGCTGTTGGAAATGTGCGCGCGCGCGCGTAACCGAACCGCGCTCCGAGTGTGTGTGCGCTCACATGTGCTCATGTCTGAGTGTGCGCGCGCGTACCCGAGGAGAGCCCAGCCATTAGCGCGCGTGTATGTGTGTGCGCGCGTGTGTGACATCACTAACTGAGAGCGCCCGCTCTCCTCTCCCTCCTCGCGCGCAACTTTTTTCCCTGGCTCGTGATGTGCGCGCGGATCTCCTCGTCCACTCTCAGCGGCAGCGGCAGGCAGCGCTCCGCTCTCGGTGTCCAGAGCGGGACCCGAGCAAGGCTGAGCCATGCGCCTCGCGCCCCAGCCCGCGCCCGCGCGCTCCCAACCGCCGAGCGTGGACACGAGAAGCTCGCAGCAGCGATGAAGTTCGGCAAGAGCGTGTGCATCATCAACGTGGGCGGCGCACGGTACACGTTTCCTCAGGACGTGATGAAGGACTTTCCGCTGCGGAGGCTCAGCCGCCTGCACAGCTGCGCGTCCGAGCGCGAGGTGCTGGAGGTGTGCGACGACTACGACCGCGAGCGCAACGAGTTCTTCTTCGACCGGCACGCGGAGGCGTTCGGCTTCCTCATGCTGTACGCGCAGCACGGCACGCTGCGCTTCGCGCCGCACATGTGCGAGCTGTCCTTCTACAACGAGATGCTGTACTGGGGGCTGGAGAGCTCGCACCTGGAGTTCTGCTGCCAGCGGCGCCTGGACGAGCGCATGTCCGACACGTACACGCGCTTCAGCGAGGAGGACCGGTGCGCCGAGCCCGAGCTGCCGCGCGCCCGCCGCGACTCCAAGTGGCTCGAGCGGATGCGCCGCACCTTCGAGGAGCCCACGTCGTCCGTGGCCGCGCAGATCCTGGCCTCCGTGTCCGTCATCTTCGTCATCGTGTCCATGGTGATGCTGTGCGCCAGCACGCTGCCCGACTGGAAGACGGCCGAGAGTAACGTGGTGGAGGAGCACAGGTACACGGACTGTTTAGAAAAGGCCGAGTACAGGTACATGGACTGTTTACACAAGTTCAGCCCGAGAGTGTTCAGAGGAGTGTCCAGTGTTTAGAGGAGGCGCGCGAGTGCATGCAGTATTTAGAAAAAGCGGAACGGAGGTGCAAGGACTGTTTAAAGGAGGAGTACAAAGTGTTTAGAGAAGTGCTGAGTGTTTGGAAGAGGAAGGCACAATGTTTAGAGGGGGAGTGCAGGAGCATGGAGTGTCTAGAGGAGGAGTGCAGTTATGGAGGACTTAGAGAAAACTTGCAAAATGCATAAGGGATGGGTACAGGGAGAAATACAGTGTTTAGAGGAGGAGAAGAGAGTGTTAAGAAGAGGATGTTTAGAGAAGTACAGGAGTAAAGAGTGGTAGAGGAGGAGTAGAGTGTTTAGAGGAGGAGTACAGAGTGTTGAGGGGAGAAGTGGCATGTTTAGAGGAGGAGTACAGAGTGTTGAGGGGAGAAGTACAGTGTTTACAGGAGGAGTACAGTGTTAGAGGAGGAGTAGTGTTTAGAGGATGAGTGCAGAGTGTTAGAGGAGGAGTACAGTGTTTAGAGGATGAGTGCAGAATGTTTATAGGAATAGTAAAGTGTTTAGAAGAGAAGTGGAATGTTTAGAGAAGGAGTATAGAGTGTTGAGAGGAGAAGTACAGTGTTTAAAGGAGGAGTACAGAGCATTGAGGGGAGAAGTACAGTGTTCAGAAGTACAGAAGAGGAGTAGAGTGTAAGATAAGTACATTGTCTGGAGGAGGAGTAAAGTGTGTAGAGGATGAGTGCAGAGTGTTGGAGGAGAAGTGGAGTGTTTATGGAAGGAGTGTAGAGTGTTAAGGGAGAAGTACAGTGTTTACAGGAGGAGTGCAGAGTGTTGAGAGGAGTAGTAGAGTGTTTAGATGAGTAGGGTGTTTATAGGAGGAGTAGAGAGTTTAGAGGATGAGTGCAGAGTGTTAGAGGAGGAGTGGAGTGTTTAGAGGAGGAGTATAGTATGTTAGAGGAGAAGTGGAGTGTTTAGAAGTGGAATATAGTGTTATAGGAGAAGTGGAGTGCTTAGAGGAGGAGTATAAAGTGTTAGAGGAGAAGTAGAGAGTTTATAGCTTGAGTGCAGAGTGTTAGACGAGAAGTACAGTGTTTATTGGAGGAGCTGAGTGTTCAGAGGAGGAGTATAGAGTGTTAGAGATATGGAGTGTTTAAAGAAGGAGTATTTTTTAGAGCAGGAGTGGAGTCTTTAGAGGAGGAGTAAAGACTGTCACAGAAGATCTGCAATGTTTGGAGGAGGAGTGGAGTTTTTAGAGGAGGAGTAGAGTGTTTAGAGAAGCACAGGAGTACAGAATGTTATTGGAGGAGTAGAGTGTTTAAATGAGGAGTAGAGTGTTCAGAGGAGGAGTAGGGTGTTTACAGAAGGAGGAGGAGCAGAGTGTTAGAGGAGGAACAGAGTATTTTAGGAAGAGCATTTAAAAACCTTTTGCAACAGCACTTTTTCCTGGTCTTTGAATAAAGTAGTTTAAGGCATCAGTGTTCCGGGTGGATTCAGACAGGAGAGGAGAGGAATCAGTCAAGTCTGCTTTACTTCCGTACAGGAATTCTACTGTATTCTACCTAAATGAGTAAACGGAAATACTGTAAAACGCTTAATTGATTCACAGAGTGATTTTTATGATAAATTGAATGATGGAATGGCTTTGTTGCTCAGGGGCTATAGCACTGGTGTGTCATGTGATATGACCCTATAACCCGATGACCCATTTATGTATAATGTCTTGTGTTATGTTGCAATTTCTAAATGTTTGTCTTTTGTCTCTAAATATAAAGTATTTCATCATGAAAGCTAGTAATGAAAGAGTGTATAAATCAGTGGTCACCAGTCCTGCTCCTGGAGATGTACCTTCCTGCAGAATTCGGCCACAGCTCGGATCTTAGACACCTGATCCAACTAATTAAGTGCACTGATGATCTGGGTAAGATGTGTTCAGTCGGCATTGGAAATGATTTCTTCAGGGAGGTGGATCTCCAGGGGTGACCAATAAAGTAACAAATGTAAATGCTGTCCTTTGCAGTTCAGAACGCGATTGTGTTGACTGGGCGATTACACGCTTATAAAGTAAATCATGTGGAAATGATCTCTCTCCAAGGTGCTGAATTGTCAGTGGATTCTATCTACACTGCCATTATTTTCACACTATTTCTCTAATTAATTCAGACTCAAATCAGTGGGCACTGAGTAGAGACAAAGTCCTTTGTATTATTGCACAGTAAGGTATATAGCGTATCTTATTAAGGTGCCAATAAATCTTAGACTAGTGTGGGAGAAACTGCATGAATAACATGAATAACTAATTGTTAACTATTGATTCCCTTCCTTTGTCATCTCTGCAGTAGTGTCTTTTTAACCCCTGTGTCTGTCTGTCTTGTATCTATACTGCCACGTGGACTGTTCTGAAGGTACTGGTACCTGAGGAGCGCCCAGCCGTGTGTGTGTGTGTGTGTGTATGTGTTTGTGTGTCTGTCTGTTCTAAGATAGGTCTGTTTTGGTGAAGCGTCAGGTTTGTCATGCAAAGAAACACAATGCCATTAATATATGATAGGTTACATCACCGAAGACGTTCTCAACATTTTCCAGCTTTGTTCTTTGTAAAACTCTTCATTCTGTTTATTCCAGTTCAGTGCCTTTACTGTAAGCATTTTCCTTGATAAAATGTGGACAATCTGTCCCCTCAACGTCGCCATTAGTTCCACACCACTTGAGATAAAACTGTTACTGTTTGGATACGCCACTGTTTTTATTTTCAAAATGACACTCAGTCCTGTCACAGAATTTAAAACCAAACACAGTTTATATGGTGGATTTAAATTCAAGTGGATGTGGAACAATCGCTGGGCAACTGCATTTATAGAAAACTGCTTTTTTAGAAACAAAAAACCTTGCACACCTCATCCTTACCTGTCTCTTATGTTTCCATCTCTTGGTGTCTAACTCCTTTTCAGGATGCCCAGCAGAGCCATGACCCTATGAATAAAGCTATTAATTTTAACAACAAAGAATAACTTTAACAAAAAAATCATTAACCTTACCTTCTCTATATCTATAGATAGATAGATAGATAGATAGATATATAGATAAACACACATACACACATATTTATATATATTATAGATAAATAGATAGATATTTAAGTACAAGTATAAACAGAAAACATATATTTAACAGAAAATTACACAAACGCCTCAGCCAGCAACTAAGTACAATATTTATTTTTCAGTATTTTCAGAATGTGTCCACTCTTTGCCTTTATAACAGCTTCCATTCTTTGCAAGATTAGCTTTCAGTTTTTCAAAAAAATCTGCAGAGATATTTTTCTCAGTCTTAGAAGCTGGTTGCATTTTCTGCTTCTCACAAGTCCAAGTAATCCTAAATCCCAAATTTAGACTCATCAGTCCATAAAATTTTACTCCACATCTATAACATTCAGTTTTTATTGTAATACTATTTTTTTCTCAGTAAAGGCTTCTTGATAGCTACATCCTTTCCGACCCATATCGCTGAGTTGTCTTCTCACAGTGGAAGGATGTACAGAAACACCTGTGGATGTTTTCAGATCTGAAGCAGGTTGATGTTCTCCTCTCTCTCAAAGATGAAAGCTTTAAGTGCTGTTTATCTGATGGGGACAGTTTTGGTGTCTACCAGGTCTTGCATGGTTGTTAGGAGTCCCATTTTCTCTGCATCTTTCAACCAATTTTGACCTCCAGTTTTGAAAACTCCTGTTTTATCCGTCTATCTCTACCTATAGACATTTTAGATGTACATGAGAAACATGTGCGATGCAACAAAAGTCCTTAGGTAGTTGCTTGTGTGAATGTTAGTGTCATCTTTGTTGTGAGGACACAGCTGTAACTGGTTGGGTTTAAGATGGAAGGATGGAAGAGTTAAAGTGACAAGATGCACAGTGGAACAGTGGACACATTAAATACTGATGGATTTGACACTGTGTTGGAGGTTTTTGTGAAAATATCTGTTAAATATATGTTTTCCTGTTTCTCTTCGGGCACTAAAAAATGATTAACTAGAGAGAGAAAATTACTAGAGAGAGAGGAGGGTGGTAAAAACTGCTTGTACACAACGTTTCCAGAGAAACAGAACATTTTGGACAAAAGTCCTTCATCAGCAGTGCAGGCAAAGTGCTATATAATCTAAGTGAAGCACAGCTGATGAAGGACTTTTGTCTAATATGTTCTGTTTCTGTGGAACGGTGTGTGCTGCTCTGCACCTTTACTGCTCCTGCATTTTTCAGTGTAGTGCACTACAGCCTCTCCCTGGAATCTTCTTTATATTGCCGTCGTGAGACATCTCCAGGAGACATTACAGGAGAAGGAAATAATTTATTAGGTTTAGTGTAACAATAATCTAACCATATTTTATTCCCAGTGATTTGGGATCATTTTTATTGGCCTAATTATCAAGAAATACTCATGAACATTAAGGGCTGCTGGCATTTTTAAATGATGTACAAAAAAAAAGGTAAAAGAAAAAGAAATGAGGTTTTGATATGACAGTCACAATATTAACAGTAAAATACACCATATAATAAAGTCTATAAATATTTGGACATTGACAAAGTTATTTTTTTTAGGTATCGAACACAGCATATTGGAGTTAAAGCTTAGATTGCAGACTTTGTGCAGACCTTCAGCTATAATGTGAGGGTATTTACAATCAAAACTGGGTGAATGGTGTAGGAATTACAACCATATTCATGCATAGCCCTGATTTTTAAGGGCTCAGAAGAAGCCCTTGGTACATGAGCAGCCAACCGCTCAGCTGTACCATGGAAAGGTCTGTGTTGTTCCCTCATTATTCCACTTACAAGCAAGCAGATAAAGTTTTAATCTTTGTGTGGTGTTGATGTTTTTGTTACTCAGTGGTCTGGTGGACCCACCGCATTATTGTCTTTTAAATCGATACAGCCATAACAAATTATGTAAAAGTACCAGATGTTTAAAATATCACAAGTGTCCAGCGTAGGGTTCTCCTTTAGCAGCTGTAGCCAGTCAGCAGCCTGTCCATGGTGTCCAGCCTCACACAAACACACACATATACAAACACATATACACACAAACACACACACATTCACAGCAGGCCATGTAGGAGGAGAACAGGGTGAAGGACACAGCACCTCCACACTTTTATTCCCGTGGGTTCACCCCGACACCACATGTGTAATATAAATGTGTGGGGGGTGAACAGAGTGAAGACACAGAAAATGTGTTATTTTATGTTCTTCACAGAAAATAAGCAAAAGCCAAGGAATCTGAGGTTAAAATAATAATAATAAATGACATAATTTTTTCTTTTGGTGAACATTGAAAATGGGTCTCACAGACCTGAACACCACACAAGGGTTAAGTGTGATTTTAAGTGTAGATTTAAAGTGTGGCATTTTCATTTGGAATCTGTTGCTGTTAACTCCCAAAATTAAGTCCAAAGACTTATCACTGCCAGTGAAGCAGGCCATCATTAGGCTGAAAAATCAAAACAAACCCCAAAAGAAAGGTAGAAAAAAATAAATGTGACCTAATAAACTATATGGAACATCCTTAAAAATAAAGAGGGCACTCATGAGCTCAGAAACACTGAAAACCAAGAGGATAATGGGAAAAACTGTGGTGGATGACAAGAATTCTTTCATTGTAACTCCTACACTGTTCACTCAGTCTGGATGTTAATCCCCTCAAGTTGAAGCTGAAAGTTTGAGCTCATATTTATTGTGTAATTTTAACTTCAATGTGCTGTTGGAGACCACTTAAATAAAAAAAAATTACTTTGTCAACATCCAGCATTTGTGGACCTGACTATATTAATGTATTTGATCAAAGCTCTCAGTTGTGCCTGGGCCCTGAATTGGACTTGACTGGATTTGTTGGCTTTTTATTTATTTTTTCCCAGCTCTTTGAGGCCCAGCAGCACTGTATCTAAGGTCTTTTGAATTCTTATTGAATTGGCCGCTGTGTCAAAAGAGGAATTAGATAAGCTCTTTATACAAATGTGTTGGTTAACGTTTTATTGGCTTTATTTATTGGATTTTTATTGGCTCTTTTCTAAATCAGTGTTATCTATTTAGTCATAGTAAGTAGACACTGTTGTTGAGCCAGAAGTGCTGCTAGGCCTCACAGAGTTTTTAGGTGCTTGCATGGTTAACATTGTAGAGTAGCCCTTACAAGATAACAGTCACTCAGTCTCACGCCTAAATGGACTTGCTTGTTTATCATGTGAATAATAAGGTCTATGCTGATTAAAGATTAGTAATTGGTTATTTAGAGTTCAGTTTTATCATTGCCTTACTTTGAAGCAGCACAGAAGGTTGATCCATAGCCACTCATAGAGTATGTTAGGGAAGGGAGACACTTTTATTTAGCGCTCCCAAGAGGCAGGCCCTTTTAATTGGCCTGCTGATTCTGATATGATTAATTTGGCTCTGCTTACTGTTTGACATAGATCATGCTGCTTGTCAGTGCAAATTCATGCTGAGCTGAATCGATGCTTCCCTCTCTCTTAATAGCTCTCTCCATTTTCCTCCCATAACTGTGCGTCTGCTCAGGATCATCGAGGCGGTGTGCATCGGCTGGTTCACAGCAGAGTGCATCGTGCGCTTCATCGTGTCCCGCGACAAGTGCGAGTTTGTCCGGCGGCCTTTGAACATCATCGACCTGCTGGCCATTACGCCATACTACATCTCTGTAACCATGACGGTCCTGACCGGAGAGAACTCTCAGCTGCAGCGGGCTGGGGTGACCCTGCGCGTGCTGCGCATGATGCGCATCTTCTGGGTCATCAAGCTGGCGCGCCACTTCCTGGGCCTGCAGACGCTGGGCCTGACGCTGCGACGCTGCTACCGCGAGATGGTCATGCTGCTGGTCTTCATCTGCGTGGCCATGGCCATCTTTGGCGCCCTGGCTCAGCTGCTGGAGCACGGGCTGGACCTCAAGTCCGGGAACGAGGAGTACGCCAGCATCCCCGCCGCCTGCTGGTGGGTTATTATCTCCATGACGACTGTCGGCTATGGAGACATGTACCCCATCACCGTGCCGGGGCGCGTGCTGGGCGGCCTGTGCGTCGTGAGCGGCATCGTGCTCCTGGCGCTGCCCATTACCTTCATCTACCACAGCTTCGTGCAGTGCTACCACGAACTCAAGTTCCGCTCTGCCCGCTGCACCAGGAGCCTCTCGGCCGAGTTCCTCAACTGACCAAAATCTCTGCCTGAAACGGTCTGCACAGTCCTTTGCAGTGGACCTGCTTCTTTGTCACTGATTCACTCAGAGATTCAGTTGGTCTTCTTGGCCTAATGACTGGACTGATCTCTGGTCTCAGGTAGAGTTTAGGGGCTTGGTCTTAAATGCATGTAACTGTGTTTATCCTTTGGGCCATTCAGGCTCAGTCCATCGAGGAGCCAAGTGTCTACAGGAATTAGTTCCAGCTGTGCTCCACATCAGCTGATTTCACTAAGGTGCTCTCCATGTAACCCCTTAAACTTTTGGCCTGTCATTCAGATAGTAGTCTTATAATATAAGTCCAGGAATTGTTAATTAACTACATCCTTAAAAAGGGGGTTCTTTGAGTGTTCTTTATTAAAGGCAGTGGACAATATGGGGCCGGGGGTTTTCAAAGGTTCTTTTGAGTGATGCCATAGATAAACCATTTTAGTTCTCTAAAGAATGAGATGTGTGAGAATTAGAAACTGTCACATGTATAAGAATCTTTACCAATTTAAAGGTTTCTTCCTAGAATCTTTATTTTACCTTTACATTATATGGAGGTTCTTTGAACTTTAAAAATGTTCTTCACACATTTACAAAAATAGTTCTCTGAAGAACCATCCATTGAAAGGTTCTTTAGAGGACCACACAAAGGACCCCTTCTGGCACCTTTATTGTGTGTATATAGAACAGTGACAACTCAAAGAACCATTTCATTGAATAACTGGTCTTTGCATGGTTAAATGGCTTTTCTCTATGATAAAAGTTTAATATGGTTCTTTAAAGAACGTATCTTTACCAATTTAATGGTTCTTCATAGAATCTTTACATTATGTGGAGTTTCTTTGAACCTTGAAAGAATGTACTTCACACATTCACAAAAATGATTCTCTGAAGAACCAACCATTGGAAGGTTCTTTAGGGAACCACACAAAGGACCCCTTCTGGCACCTTTTTTTGTGTATGTAGAACAATGACAACTCAAAGAACCACTTGAATGCATAAATGGTTTTGCATGGTTCAATTGCCTTTCTCTGAGATAAAAAGCCTGTTACATATGGTTCTTTAAAGAACCTTTTTTTTTTTAAAAAAAAAAAAGGCTCTATCAAGCTTCAAAGAAAATATAACCTCTTTTGGTGCTATAAAGAACCCTTTTTGTAGTACACCTCACTCTTAAACATAAACGTGTCAGAAATGGTTCTTTGGAGCGACACAGAAGAGGAACATGTGGTTCCGGAAAGAACCTTTCATTGCATGGTTTTTAAAAGAACCTTTTTTGTAAATATGATGCATGCGTGTGAAGAATATTTTTAAAGTTTTAAGAATCTCCACATAATGTAAAGGTTCTATATCAATTCCTAGAACCATATATCCAAGAACCATTAAGGAACCTTTACTTTCAGACTGTATAAGTTATGTAGTTATGGGAGCGAGGAGGTGAAGGCCAACAGACCCTTAAGGTTTAAGGGGTTAAACAAAGACCCTATTCAGCCAAGTCAGTTGTTGTGGTGCACGGTTAGACCGTATACCTGCGGACCCTGCGTCCCTCCATGGTCTGAGTCAAGGGCCCGCGGTTCATCCAACTGGCTCACCTCTGGCAATTTTATTTTTAGAAAGCAACAGGATGAAGCGATGCATGCCAGGTTTCACTCAGCTGTGCCGTTTTTACAGCTGCTGTTACTGAGCTTCCAGAGCGGTGGGGGAGGCTACCATGGCGACAGTGGCTTTCAGGCCAGATGTCCCTGTCAGGGGCACGCTGGCGGAGGGCAGCTTTGTCATGTCAACCAGAAGCCTTGCAAGCATTCCACACATACACACAGGCTGAAAAGCTTCTCCCTCACAGCCTGACAGACATGCGCTTCATCCTCTAGCCATGGCTCGCAGCCACCAAAGGGATTTAGCTTCTGAATGCCATCTAGTCAGCCCACAGCCTTGGCAGATACACGGGAGAAACATAATTAAACTTCTTTTCAGCCACAGTGTTCTTTTATGATACCTGGGTTTGTCATACAAAACTTCCAAAACTCAGCAGTCAAACTTTTAAAGACAATTGAAAGAAACAATGTTAGGGAGTTACGTAATTTTTACGATGGTGAAGAGAGCAAACAGAATTTGCATTTCAGCTTATACCAGCAATCGAAATGATTCTGTAGAATCCAATTGAGTGTGACAGAAATCCTTCAGGGATAATGAGAGATGGAGAGTGAGAGAGAGACACAGACAGAGAGGAAGAGCGAGAGAGGAGAGAGCTTAGCTGTGTAGGCAGCTGTGCCATATATGTAAAGTGGAACACAGTGGGCTACGAAGCAGGAGTGTTGTAACAGAGTGCTTCTAGATGGTTTGGATGGGACCATTCAGTGCATAAAGAGCGTCTCCTGACGTTTCACTACCTGTCTCCTCAGTATCTCAGCACGGCTTCATGCTGGAGCAGGTCGAGGATCGTAATTCCACCATGACCAGCACTGGCTTTCACATGAAACCCTTTGTCGGGACCCACAATGTTCAGGAAAGATTTTAAAACACAATATTGCCTCAAGGCGCACTTCTCATCCATCCCATCTTCTTCTCTTCAACTCTCCATATATGTGGTGGCTTTGTTGTTGTTCTGCCATCTGTGAGCCAGACATAGGGGGCGTTCAGAGTTCTGATGCTGTATTATGTTCTGGGTTTTTCCTTTTTCACATGAATTTATTTAAAATAGAGGATAAAGTGCAGTTGGAGAAAATATCTATGGAATCTGTTGGGTACCACGATGCCTTGTAAATATCCTTGACCTACTTTTTATACCCTTGGTCCACACACACACACACACACAAACACATACACACACACACACACACACACACAAACACACACAAACACACACACACATACATAGACAGCAGATTTCCTTGTTTAATTAAAATGTTGTCAATATTGCATTGGCTTATGCAGAAAACCTTGAATGTCCAAATTCACTGTTTTGTAAGCACTTTTTATAGAGACATTTAGGTTACATGGTTTTTGTACTTTTTTTCGATCCTAGTCATTCAGATAATACATCTACACCACCAGTCAAAAGTTTAGACGCAGCTACTCAGAGAAGGTTTTCCTTAATTGTAGCTCACTATTTTACATTAAAATAAGAGTGAACACATCAAACTATGAAAGATCACTAACAGAATTATGTAGTCACCTTAAAATTCTTCAAAATGGTAACTTTACAGGTGAATGAAAAAACCCTCTTAACTTGTAACGGAAGTTAATTTAGCAAGATTTTTTTCCCCAAGTAAAATTTCTATTGGTCCTTAAATTCAGCAATATATATACACACACACAAACACGCACACACATTTTCTAAACCGCTTACCCCTTCTGGGACATGGGGGGTGCTGGAGCCTATCCCAGCGGTCATTGGACGGAAGGCAGGATACCAGTCCATCGCAAGGCAGACAGACACACACACAAATTCACACTTAGGGGCAATTTAGCGTGTCTAGTTGGCCTGACTGCATGTCTTTGGACTGTGGGAGGGAACCGGAGCACCCGGAGGAAACCCACGTTGACACGGGGAGAACATGCAAATTCCACACGTCGTCTGGCCAGGGAATCAAACCCAGGCCTTTCTTGCTGTGAGGCAACAGTGCTATTTATATTAGCACAGTGCCTTTCCATCCAGACTGAAGATGTTCCACACGAGAGCATTTAAGCTTATGCCTGTAGATTGAAATGTCTTCAAGATTATAAATATCATCCATTCAATCAGGTGTATCTAAACTTTTGACTGGTGGTGTATATAGAGACAGATGGAGAAGATATTAAATTGAGAAAGAATGGGGGAGGCCTCAGGAGGCTACTGATGTGCTTCACTGACAGGCTGTTTTGGTTGCAAATCAGCATGAATTCATTTTCAGTTCAAGAAAACCACAGTGCTAATAGATTCTTACCCAACTGTGATAATGCTGACCCCGTTGATTCAAATAGTTTGTTTTCTGCCTGTGTTTCCTAGTTGCAGTCAGGGGATTTTATTCACCATACAATGTGGCTCCATCTGCTCCCTTTTGTCTCTTCATTGGCCTCCACTCAGAATGCTTGTGCTGGATCTTGATTGCTTTTTTATGATAGTTTGTTGTTGCCTATTCCTCAGAGATTGTTTTATATGTGTACTTTAAATGCATACATTTGCAATGATATGAGGCAAATTGGGCAGCAAAGGGCAGTTATTGATGGTGAAACCTTCAGATGTGATAGACGCATCTCTAATCTTGTTCTATGAAGTGTAGGTTCTCAGTCCTGGTCCTGGAGCATCTCCTGCTCTGTACACGTCAGAGCGTTCTCTGCTCTAGTGTACCAACTTTAGTTCAGGAAGGGCTTGTAAATTATCCAATAAGCAGGGATCAAGTACTGTTGTATGCAAAAGTTTGGGCACTCCTGATCAGATTATTGATCAGATGTTTTTTGTTGACTTTCTAAGTGAAAATAAGTTAACACATCCTCTAAGGAGGACACATTTTATTGCACAGTTACTATTTATTTGCTGAATTTAATATATTGGAAAACATCAAATCAAACATCAGATGTCACCTGTGCAAAAGTTCTAGCAGATTTTATATTTGATATGTTAATTTTTCCCCTCAATATGTTAAACTCAGCAAGTAAATAGAAATTGGGCACTAAAATTAGCAGGGAAAAGACATGTTTTAGTGTGACTCGTAGATAGTTTGCTTATTTTCACTCAGAAAGTCAATAAAATGTAATTTAACTGGAGGAATTCAAACTTTTGGATACTACTGTATGTTAGAGCAAAGAGAAAATGAAAATGGCGGTACTCCTGGACCACACTGTAAAAAATGGTTCATCAGTTCAACTTAAAAAAAGAGAAATACTTCACATAGTACACTTTAAGAAATAAAGGTATGAAACTGTCACTGGGGCAGTTCCCCTCTTGTCACTGGGGTGGTACCCTCAAGGGTACATCACAGTAGCTTTGGCCAGGGAACATAATCGTACCATAATCCATTGAAATTATATTGACTATAGTTGTATTGACTCCACACACCCCGTCTCGTCTCGAGGCTTTTTATTTTATTGTTTTATTTTAAAACATTAGGTTATGAAAAGTACAAATATATACATTTCCACTGGGAAAAACTTATTTAAGGTACACAGTTGGACCTTAAAACCACTGTTGTACCTTTGAGGGAACAGTTACATTGTTTGTACCTTGATGAATGAAAAATGTACCTGCACAGAGCCTTTATTTCTAACAGTGTATCCAGCAATTTAAATGTTTTTATTCAGCTGAAATAAATATTTTACATGAAAGAATGCAAAGCAAACAATTTAGGTTAGATGAACAAAAGCAACTTTTTTTTTCAAATGAAACCTCAAAAACACTTCAAATCAACTTCTACCCTGTTCTACTTTTTACAGTGCAAGTATTTTTGCTATATATTATTGGAAATATTCATGTAATTCTTGTCAGTGTCATGTTTAACTAAGAGGTTAGAAACCAGGCACTTATTACAGCTATTCATATCACACACAGGTCTCATTTCAAAACAAAGGGAGGTGTAATATCACACCCAAGAGTTGGGTGATGAGAGCATCTTCACCGCTCCTGGAGATCGCACTCTGAGAAAGGAAGTTAACATCACAAATTCGTCTCACATCCTGCTATTTCCACCTCGGTTGGGAGGCGAGTTGATACGCCTCCCTGTTATTGCTGTTATTGTCACTAATGAGCATCTTCATTCATTCATCGGCGTCGCGATTCAGTGCTTTCCTCGTGAGACGCTGAGTGCGGCACGTATGCGGGAGTGATTGGAAGATGATCCATTCTGAGGCTGATGACAGGAATGAAGATGTGTCTAACGTGCTACAGCATTTCCCTCCTCGCTAATTAAACTCCTGATTATGCTGAAAGGTCTGCCTCCACCGCCGCAGTGTTCATAACTAACATTAACTCTGTTATACCTTAGCTTGTCTCTCTTTGTCTCTCTCACCTTCTCACCATCTCTCTCCTTCTGTTTTTCCATTTGAGGGGCTCTTTTTCTCTTACAAACATAGAGAAGAGCACAAAAGCCAGGTTTCTTGAGTCGAGCTGTCAGTCAGGGCTCGGTAAAGAGATCTTTATTCCAGTGCTGCTCTGCTGAGCCCATTTCAATAACCATGGTAAACATGATTCTTTTTTAATTTACCTGTCAAGCCAAGCAGACTCTAATGAAATGCTCAGGATTCCCATGAAGATGAACATGGTCCTCAACATGTGTGCGAAAGGCCATGAAATCTCATAAGCAAGATTACTTCATCGGTGGAGTTGAATCTTAATTGCTAACGTTTCCCGAGCTCTCTCCGAGATACTGGAGAAGGCTGTGTCCAGTTAATGAATGGCATATTTAAAGTATCCCTGAAAATAAGCTTCAGTTCTGCCATTATACCTTTCACAAAGCAAAATGGGTCAAAGCCACATCGATCCTAATGGACAGCTTAAAGGGGAATTATACTGGTTTATCAAATTTTTTGCATAATACAGTCATTGAGATGTAAACATTTCAGTCACTTGAGTCATTCGGAGTGGTTTGATGTGAAATGGTTCATTGTAGAGAAATTCACTGACTCTGATTTTTTTTCTGCATATATAACATTTTGCTATCCAAAACATCCAGTGAAGCTACACCTGTCTGCTGAGTTTTTGTATGTAATATTAATGCGAATAAAATAGTAACAATTTAGAAAAGGTATGTTTTTATGGGGACTGTTTTGCCTTGCAATGCCCTGTTAGCGACATTAAGCACTTCAGACGTCTGGTTCCTATCACCCCCACTGTGAACACTGTGAGTTTTCACTAGATTGTAATTTTCACTAGAACGGAGCGTTTCACATCAAACCACTTTGAATTACATCATAATGGTTTAATTATGCAGAAATTTAGAAACATCTGTGAAAATCCCCTTTAATTAATTAATGGAAAGAATGCTACTAAGTTTAGCAACTAGTCTGAGATGTAAATTCAATAAAGAAAAAGATGAGCGATGGAACTGGAAAATGCATTATGATGCTCACTGTGATGGTTTCGCTGCCTATCAACTGTGTTATTTTCTATCATTTGGCAATTTTATGTCATAACCCCATTTACTACCAATCACCAGGAAATGCTGAAGGTCTTGTAGGTCTCTTGAAACCAAAATAATCTTGATTATCATCATCTGAGAATTTCAGATGAGGGGTGTTACATTGTGTAAATGATTTTTTGATTACAGATATACAAGAAAGAAAGAAAGAAGAAAAGGCTTTATTTCAACACGCAGCTGCTTAGCTTTCTGTAAATGGCTTGAGCTTTTTTTGTGGGAATTTCAAGCAGGAGGTGTTGTGGGGTTTAAATGTTTTGTTATAGCCTAATAGATGAGCTGGCTACTTTTGTGAAAGTATAGATTAAGCCTATGTCTAAAATGCCAATAATGCAGAATCTTTTTTGATTGTTTTTAGCACTCCTTACCTTTTTAAATAGAAAGTCTATTTTGTATAAAGTAGCATATAAGATGTCTCTGTAAAAGCTGCAGCAGCTCTATGAAAACTCTCTAAATAAGTATGAATAAATTTCTGATGAGTACATGTGATTTGTCTGTGTGTTCTTTCTGATGTCTGGTAAGTTTTAAGGAAAATATTTGTTATTAAAGCTCTTTAGTAAGCCTACTGTAAAGAGCACAGATAGTCTACAAGCCTGCTTGCCAACAAATTCTCCTGAGAGTCACAGACTTTTATTGCTCCCGCCTGGCGTTCTCCTGGGGACCAGAATTTCCTGTTTTTTCCATTATCACAACATGTTGCATGAAGTCAGCCAATTAATGGAACTTCAATCAAAAGATAAAGCTTTATGTTCAAAGTTAATCTCAGCACACCACACATTTCAGTTTATCAATCCACGTTGTTGCTGTGGCTGCCACCTGACAATGCACCTGTTGTTGCTGCACTCCTTTAAATCTTTGTTTTTTGTTTGTTTGATTTGTTTTCTTTTTGACTTTTTTTTTTTTGGTAATGAATAAGTGTTTAGTACACTGTCAGAAAAAAGGTACTGTACTGTCACTGGGGCAGTACCCCTCTTGTCACTGGGGTGGGAGCCTCACAGATACATCTCAGTCAGGGATCATAATTGTACCATAATCCACTGAAATTATATTTTCTAAGTTGTATTGACTCCACACACCCCGTCTCGTCTCCAGGCTTTTTATTTTATTGTTCTGTTTTAAAACATTAGATTATGAAAAGGTACAAATATGTAATTTTCACCTGGAAAAACTTATTTAAGGTGCACAATTATACCTTAAAACCACTGTGGTACCTTTGAGGGTACATTTAAATTGTTTGTACCTTGATGAATGAATATGTACCTACACAGAATCTTCTAACAGTGTATAAAATATTTGTTAGTGGCTTGTTTTGTGCTTTTCATAGACTGAATTAAGTCCCTCAGACCAGCTGCTAGAGTTTGGGAAAATTCCTTGTTTCTGAGGTCTCAAAGTCAGCAAGCAGTGTTCCCCAAAATTTGATGCTTTGGTCAAATCAAAGCCTCACAGTGGCTATAATTTTTTTAAGTGCTACTAAATACTGTACCGTGTCTGCAGTGAGAGTAGCAAAGATTACATTTCACAAAGTTGCAAAAAGTGTACACACCTACGTTCAAGAGCATGATTTAACACACAGTTCATATGTGAATTTAAGTCTGCTATTAACCAACGTAAGAAAAAAAAAGATAATTTTTAAATAATGTTTTACTGTATGCATGCTAATAGCCAAGATGCTAGTATATGGATGAATTCATAAATATGTTGTGATGTGTTAAAAGCATGAGTTTACAATATTGTATTAATATTTAGCAGAATTTAATATTAGAGCTTCTTATTGTTTACTTTAAAAAATCCCCATTGGCCCAGATTTAGGAAGAACTGCCACATGCAGTGTAACAGCAGCGTGCTCATACAACGTTAAGCGTGTAACGCAGTAGCATTAACGGGCTTATTAAAAATAGTATTCAATAGAAAATATTGTTGAAATGTTCTAAAATAATAATAATAAGAAGAAAAAGAAGATTATAGAGGCAAAACATCAGGCACCACACACGCAGGATCTGTTCTGGCGTCATTTCCGGGCGGCCGGTCCTCGTTCTCCGGGTCAGAGCGGTGCGGCGGCGGTTCGCTCTGATCTCTGTGTGATTTAGACCCACATCTCCAACAATGTACTACAGGATCAGCGGAGTGACCGGGAGACTAACGGGGTCCACACCGGCGGGCGCGTACTGCCCTCAGGTAGTGAAAGTTTGAGCTGTTTTGTGAAGAAAAACGGTCCGTGACTCACTGTGACCTTCAGCCATGCAGGAGGCGGGTTTAGCTTCTAGGCTAACTTAGGGAAGCTGTGGCGCGAGACGACCTCGTTTAACGTTTCATAAAAGAGACCATTAAAGCACGTTTAGTCTGTGATTTATTCATATTCCATATTTTTGGTGTACCAGCTTTCAAAAAAGGTATTTGGAAAGTGAAGTTTAAGAGCTGGCTGAGTAAGTTAACGCTAGCTAGGTTAGCTAACCCTGCCTGTATAAGGAACTTTGTCTTCATATATAAGTTATAACAGTTACGCTATACAGTGTCACAGTATGGCTATACTTCAAAAAAGACAAATAAGTGCCACGTTTAAAAAGTGCGATCAAAAACTATGAATATAATATGATTTAACGTTGTATTCAGCATTTCACATCTTGTGCTTCACGCAGTCCAGTTAAACAAAGCTAATTAAGCTCTCTTTGTAAGCAAGCATGCAGTTGAGAAATGTTTTTAAGTACTGAAAGTTTCCAGATATGCTCAGAAAAGCATACTGTGACAATTTATAATGACAACGATAAACATTGTCGTGTCGCCCGGTTTTATTTCATTATATGGCCTCTTGTTAGACAAGCAGTACTCTGTTCTGATAGTCAACAATGTTTTAAGTTGAACTGTCTAGCTATAATGTCTATAAGTCTCTTCACAAGAGATGTTTTAGAGAGACCGCTGGGTAAAATATATGTAATCATACTATTATATCTACACATTCACTGTTTCTGCAACCCTGTGGCACCTTTGGCACATTTGTGAGGGACGTTGAGGTGGCTGCCATAGTGACCTTGTTTTTTCCTCCAAAGCTTATGTGTGCGCTTGTGTTTGACTGTATGTATGTATTGCAAGTTTAATGGTGTACTATAGTTTCTTACTAGTTTTCAGTATTAAGAGATTTTTCAAATTATGTTTTTTTCTATTTGAATATATTTATAAAGTGGCTGTCTGTTTTCACACAGGGGCTGAAGCCCACGTTGCCCTCAGAACCGGCCCCCATGATCTTCGCCTCTCCCACCAAGGTTGTGTCAGAAGCAGGCGCTGTAGCAGAGTATATGGGATCTAACAAGGTCCCTGAGCTTCAGAAGATCTTCCAGGTATTACATTGTCTCTGTGGCTTTTCGTTGAAAGGAATCTCTAGAATGTTGGCTTCAACATCCACGTGACATTCATCTGCGATTGAAAGCTATCATGACTTGCAAGCAAGATCGTCAGAGCACTGTAGTAGAGGTCGGCACGGGACTTGCTTCGCAACTCTTTGACTTTATTCATTTTAGTTGTTTTACTGTCATCATTTTATATTGTTTATATATATGATTTAGTGATCGTTATACTTTGTTTAGTGTGGTCATTAATTTGTGGGATTTCTCTTCATGCATCTTTCGGCCCTCTCCCACCTGCGGTGGGCTTATTACCCACCGGCTCCCGCCCACAACACTGAAAAATAGTCCCACGCTGCAAGATATTGTGGTGGGTGTGAAATGACCATATTAGCCACATAACAAGGCGTATGAACGTCTCAAAAATACTGATAGTACACCATGAATGATAACCTTAACGGATTACTGTGGATCAGAAAAGTGCAGTGTTTTACAGATTTTTTTTTTTTTTTGCCATTCTTCTGTTACCCAAGTCTTCAGATGCTCAACCATATGGGGCCTTCATTGTTACAGTTTGTGCTTCATAATGCACCACACTTTTTAAACGGAAGCCAAGAGCTGTGCTGTGTAACACGTGCAGAAGAAGCTTGAGTTTTCCATATTGAAATAAGCAGGGACGTCCCTGAAAAAGACATCGACTAGAAGCCGGCATATGTTGCTCCAAAATGCGTATAGTGCTGCATGAAAGTTTGTGAGTCTTTAGCATTATGTGAATTTCTGCATAAGTTTGACCTAAAATATGATAAATCTTCATTTATGTCAAAACAATAGATGAAGAGAACCCAATAAAACAAATAGCATAAGCAATTACAGCAAGGTCCATAAGTATTTGATCACTGACACAATTTTTGTACTTATGCCTGCATACACCACCACAATGGATTTGAACTGAGGCAGTCAAGATGTGATTGAAGTGTAAATGTTCAGCTTGAATTCAAGGGGTTTAACAAAAATATTGCATTAATCGCTTACAAATTACAGCCGTTTTTTTACATAGTCCCTTCATTTTCACAGGCTCATGAGTAATTGGACAGTTAACTGATAAGCAGTTTCATGGCCAAGTGTGGCCTATTCCCTTGTTATTTCATGACAAATTAAGGAGATAAAAGGTCTGGTGTTAATTCCAAGTTTTAAATATGCATGTGATAGCTGTTAATATGCGATTTAAAGGTGCAAGCGAAAGAGGCCATAATTGGGCTGAAAAACAAAACAAACCTATCAGAGAGTTAGCAGAAACTTTAGGAGTGGCCAAATAATTTGGTACATTCTTAAAAAGAAGGAATGCACCGATGAGCTCAGCAACACCAAAAGGTCTGGAAGGCCGCTAAAGAAAACTAAACAGGATAATTGCACAGTTCTTGGTGGTGAAGAAAAACCCCTTCACTACATCTAGTCAAGTCAAGGACATTCTAGAGGAGGTAGGTATATCTTTGTCAAGGTCTACAGATAAGAGGGGCCTTCATGAATGTAAATACAGAGGGTTTACCTCAAGTTGCAAACCACTGGTAACACCCAAGAACAGAAAGAAACATTTCAAATCCAACATGATGGTCTACAGAGACAAAATTACAAAAAAATCATCACTGTCTAAATACTTTATGGAACTGACAGTATGTAGAAAAAGAAATAATGCTAAAGGCTTTACCAACTTTCAAGCAGGACTCGAAAGCATTTCAGCATTAATGGTACCTTCACAGTTGTGCAAGTTACCCATGCCATGAGCTTAATTACACCCCCATATAGTGACACAAATGGCTTTTGAATTTTATCCTGGCAACTGTCTGGATGGTCCTTTTTTATATTTGGCTTGGTGTCCATTATTTCCATGAACAAACTGAAAGATTGACTCGTCAAGACTACAGATGCACTGCATCAGTACATTTCAGATGAGCTAGAGCCTAGAGAAGTTTCTGGAGGTTGTTGTCATATTGCTTTCACTGTGCATAGTATAGTCTTAACTTGCATTTGTAGATGCAAATTGTATCTGTTCACCACAATTTGCCAATCTGGACTGATCTTGAACCCTGTGGTGATAGGTCACCAAAGCATGTCGGTTTAATTGTCCAGAGATTGTCCAGATTCCTTCAGTCTTTTGATATTATGCACCATAAAGGGTGAAATACAGAATTCTTGCAGTCACTTTCAGAAGCAGCACATGTTTACAGAAAAAGGCTGAAGTTAATGAGGCAAAATATTAAATACTTTGCATTTGCACTGTTTTCATTTAGATGCAGGTTAATGTAGATTTACTGATCACTACTTTGTTTTTATTTGCATTTCACATTGTCTCAACTTTATTGGAATTGAGGTTTGTACAACCTGTTCTTCATTAAATCTAATCAATCAAATTTGTCAAATTTAATAAAGTAAATAATTTTGTCAGGTTTAGAGAAAAGGAGATACATTTTTCTCTGGAAACATCAAGTCTGAATTTAGATCCTGGTTTCAGAAGCCACAGATATAGGAAGTTGTCTACATGAAGCAGTGTCTAGCTTTGTCATTGAAATTCATTGTGCTGTTTCTCACTGTTCACAGAAAGCTGACGGAGTGCCCATTCACTTGAAGCGTGGAGTCATGGACCGACTACTGTACAGGACTACAATGGGCCTGACGATTGGAGGAACCCTCTACTGCCTAGTGGCCTTGTACATTGCTGCCCAGCCCAGAAAACCTCAGTGATCTCAATCCTCATCCCCCTCTGGATTTGTCAGATTGTAATTATAACAGGTGGGAGCAACAAAGTGGACTATTAACACTCTATTTCCAAAGACAGTTGCATATTGCTGCCATGTTCTTTCACTTCCGCTTAACCTTATTTATAACCAGAGGTCTGGTGCTGCCAGCTCCACCTCAAGAAGTCTTGCAAGTACATCTTTTCACAACATGAAATAAGAGGTGAAAAAAATAAACAGCCATCAGGCCTCTCTGTCTGACTAACGTCAGGGGTTTAGACTGGGTTTACTGGGGTACATGCTCTGACTAAAATGTGCTGGTGTCTTTAAGGACCTTTAAGATGAGCAAACCTCCAGCTGGTGAAACAGAGGCATGTGGGCACAGACAATTGCTTTGACACTTTTTGATGACAAAGTAAAAATAATGTGAAAAAAAAAAAGAAAATTAACATCAACAGGAACTGTGGAAGCAGTTGGCACCTTCAGCGGGTTTTGATACTTGGCCAGGATTTTTTCATTGTTCTGACAGCTGGAGAGTGCGCTGCTTCAGTTTGGTAGTGCTTGCAATCCTGCTGATGTCCAGAACAAAGTATTCTTAGTTTTTCTGAAACTGACACTACAGGTGTTTCAGACACGATTACGATGGCCATGAATCTGTCAGTACATGTTTGACTGTAAACGATGTTCTTGTAATTTTTCTTGAGAATAAATATATTTTGTTTGTAAAAAGCAAGGAAAAGTGTCTTGCATTGTGAATATGCAATAGTTGTAGTTAGATTTCTGGTGATGTTAAACGGAGTAAAAACCGGTGCAATAAAAATGAAATGCTTATTTCTCAGGAGATGATTTGAGTTTAGATTACAGCACTGTGCAAAAGTCACAGAGTACCGTTCATTTATTAATTTTCCCAGTGCCAAACAGATAAACAGCAGTTCATCTTTGTGAGAGAGGAGAACATCAAGCTCCACTCCTGCTTCACGTCTGAAAAAGTGCACAGGCGTTTCTCTCCTTCCACTGTGCGAAAACATGGGTTAAGTCTGAAAGGACGTGTAGCTGTTAAGAAGCCGTTAATAAAGAAAGTAAATGGACGAAAAAAATAACGTGTAAATCAATAAAAAGCTGAACAATGGACTGACCACCCCAGAGTCCAGATCTCAATGTTACTGAATGTGTTCTGGATTAATTAATGGCTGATTTGACTGGAAATTAATATTGGTCTCTGACTTTTGCACAGTGCACTACCTCATGCAGCGGAGAAGTAAAATAAAATAGATAAAATAATGGAAACCCCACATGAAAAAGGACTGATGTAATTAAGCCATTTAATACTGGTTACAGTCGCAATTGAAATTTTGTTTTTAATTTGTTGAGGTCTGTAAGAATCGTTATTTTTTTTGTCTTTTTTTTTTTGTTTGTTTTTTTTTGTTTTTTATTAAATATTATAGGTTGTCTGGATTTCGCATGAAGTTTTAGTCTTGAAGGTGTAACTGGTCACATGACCAGCTCTACAAATGGAAAATGAGTTATAAAACGGCTATACCTACCATATTTGGTACAAATAATCTTTAAAGAGTGTATTACTTATATTTTCATAGCTTGTACTTCCATATCGTGCTTTCACAAGATGTAAAGTCACAGTTGTGACCGGTGTGATAATACGGTGATTCACATATGCTGTTCATAATGCCTTTTTGTTTTAATACATGGTTCACTGTATATCAGTTATGAGTTTGAGTCTAGTTTCCCCATCAGTCACAGTTGTAACTTAAAATGAATGTTACATTTTCACAAACGTTCCACAAACGATTTTTGAAAAGGCGTAGTTTGTTTCATGCGGCTGTCCAAGGAGTGAAATATGTGCTGTCATAGCTGGAAAACATTTGGGATTAAATGCGTTAAATCATGAACGCCAGTTAGACGGATACGTGGGCTATAAATCAGGTCTGTAAATCAGCACTTTTACGTGTTCTGAAATCTGAGATTAAATAATTACTAAGAGATTAAATAATTGTCAGGTTGTAATTCAGTTGGTCAAAGAAGCTGGAAAATGATTTATGTCAAGAGGCACAGTGTTGACATCCTGCATCAGCACAAAGGAACCCTGGGACCACCCCATCACCAGATCTAAACAACGCTGAACATTTATGAGAAATTTATGAGTACAGAATAGCTTTTCCGCCCTCTTCATCTCTCAGAAAACTGAATGTTTTTCTTCTTGAAAAATGGCATAATATTCCACTACACACAGTTCAAGACTTCTAGGACAGCATTTCAAGAAGGAGTGAGGCTGTTTTGGCAAAGGGCGGCTTATTAGGTGTCTGATAATATATTTAGTTATTGTTATCCTCGTTAAATCCACCCACTGTATATTGCAGACTGACGCTGCTGGTATTTGTTATAAATACTCCTATATTGTATGCAATTGATGAATATTTGAGGTTGGACAATCTCCATAAAAAGAAATTACTAAAGCTCAGAATTTGGTTTATCATCACCTCAAAACCCATGACATGGACCTCTCATTGTAACAGGACATCACGTTAATTTATGTCTGTTTAGTTCTAATGTTGCAAATGTAGTATTTAAAGCCAACTGAAAACAATATCTTGTGATCTCATACGGTTTCATCATTCAGGATGTGATTGGGAATGGGAGTGTGCATGTTGGCAGTAATTACGCATGCATAAAGCATTTCAGCCCTATTGTTTGATGTGATTAGATTAGCTCCACTGCATACTGGATCATCAGTCACATTTGGATGTGCATGTGTGTCAGGGGAGCAGATGATTAGCGTGGAATTGATGTTCGACATTTGATAGGGATGTAAACGTGCCTGAGAGCAGGATGTGTATAGTATTATATTGCTTTGTTTGTGATGTGTAATCTGCTTCCGAGAAGTTAGTGTTTTGGTTTTTTTGTCTGTCAATAAGCAAACCATGAGTTCTGTTAGTAATACTATCTTTTTAATACTTTTTTAATCTTTTTTGGGGCCTAATATCAGTAATACTGATGAGAGAAGACTAGTAAGTGGAATGTGTGTGAAAATGAAACCACTGTTTTATAATCTTAACTCACAGAGAGATTCTGAAAGCCTTGCCTGAAACAGGCCGTGATGTAAAACCTCTTTCTCAGTGCTCTTGCGGGAGGTTTCAATTCGAATTTAAATGAAATAGCTGGCAGCAGCCCTGGATGTGCAAAATAGGACAATGCAAATCATTTTGGCCACCCTCTTGGCTTTCAGCATCAGTGGTTCTCTGACTGAACCCCAAGCATTTTTATATCTTTACTTGTGTTATGAGGAAAGAAATAATGTGATAAAGGACCCATTTTTCAGCCTTGTAGCTTCAGTACAAACCTAAAGGAGCAAACTTTAGACATAAAACATGAGAGAAAAGGGAAAACTATACATTATATTTTTGACAAACCTTTAATCTATATTAGCAGTGTTTTAATTCCATTTAAGATTTATACCCAAGTTGCCTTGAATGTATGAGATGTCAGATGAAATGGTCAGGGATCAGTGTGACAGAATCACACAGAACCTCACAGAATGTCAGTCCATGTTCCAACACGTGATCTTAGATCCACAGATACCGGCCTCCTGCAAACACCTTCCGCAAAATACGGAAAGCATGGAGAGACACCTTCGGTTATTCTGCTTCTAAACTGTGGAACTCAGTTCCACCTTTTATTAGACCTTTAAACTCCATGCACACTTTTAAGAAGCATTTGAATAAGTACAGTGCCCTTGGCAAATATTGGCACCCCTGGTAACATGAGCAAAACTGGCTGTGAAAAACATTAATGCTTATCCTTTTCATCTTTCATTAAAATACTAACAAAACTCCACAAAAAGAATTAAAGGAAATAAAAACAGTTTTTCACAAGATAAACATCTGTGTGTGCTACAGTAGTTACCGCTGTTTATTTAATACTTTGTGCAGCCTCTCTTTGCAGAGATAACAGCTCTGAGTCTTCTCCTATAATGCTTAATGGGACTGGAGAACACATGGCAAGTAATGGGAGACCATTCCTCCTTACAGAACCTCTCCAGATCCTTCAGACTGTGAAATCCATGCCTCTGGACTCTCCTCCTCAGCTCATCCAACAGGTTTTCTATGGGGTTTAGGTCAGGGGGCTGGCGTGGCCATGGCAAAACCTTTGCTTTCTTTGGTCAGTGAACCTTTTTTGTTGATCTTGATGTGTGTTTTGGATCATTGTCCTGCTGGAAGATCTAACCACAACCCAGTTTAAGCTTTCAATCAGATTTTCAAATCTGATTTCAGTCAGATTTTAATTTAATATCTGCTGGTACTTCATGGAGTCTGTGATACCATGTATCCGAACAAGTTGTTTAGGGACTTGGGAAAAAAAAACAGCCCCCCACAGTATCACAGATCCACCACCATACTTCCCAGTGGGAATGAGGTACTTTTCTGCACGGCTGTCTTTGTGTCCACACCAAATGTACCTCTGATGTTTGTTGCTAAAAAGCTATATATTGGTCTCATCTTACCATAGAACCACCAAATTCAACCACTGTTGAAGACTCTCCAGCAGAGAAAACACTGAAATGTGCAGTGATGGCTGAGAATGAGAACCAACACACTACATACTTATTACTTACCTCCATTACGTAGGCATGCAAACTCAGAAACTGAATAGCAGCAGTTGAGGGATTTGGCAGGAGGTAATACAAAGAATTAATCTCTGAGTCAGAGTGCGCTGAAAGGCGCTGTTCAACATCACTGCCACCATGAGTGATTGAAGCCTGCTGGGTAATCATACAGCTAAACCCACTCTGATCAGCCCATCACCCACAATACTTATTGCTGCTGGTAGGAGGGGGCATCACAGTGCACCCAGCACTCGTTCAATTCCAGACAGCAAACAGTGTGGCCCCATTTCATATTCCACGAAACATTCAATAGGCTACTGCCATTTAGACCAGAACTCCACATGCCAGTGTTTATCATCGACATATAGTATGTGGGGGAAACTAATGCATCAGGGGCTCTGATTCAGACTATACATTCAGTACATTTGTGGTTTTGTGGTTTGTCACAAGCTTCCTAAATGTGTTAAAACAGCATTTAAAAGCTTTTATTTGAATTGTAACTACTTTTATTTGGATGTTATAGAAAACAGACTCCACTTTTTACTGTTTTTGCTGTTTTTTAATTTTTTTTCAGTTAAAGTATGAGTGTTTTTAAGCCGACTGGGAACACATGGCAACTTTGATCACATGTGGCTGAATGAGTGATAATCATAATATGAACTGGTGTCTTTAAGGGCTGAACTCATGTTGAGGAACCACAGCTGAGATTTCCTCTGTGACTGACTCTGACTCAGTCTGACTCAATCTGCTCTATATATTCTTCTTCTATATTCTGCTTATTTCATTTTATTCTCTCTTGGCTGATTTTCAGCATCTTTTATGCTGTCTTTTCTTTTCTGTCCTCTGTGTCTTTTTGATGACTGTTCTGGTTTAGATTCTATTTTCCTAAAACTGATAGTGTTAGATTTTTTTTATTTCATTTGATCTGTATGCAGTGTGATTCCATACAATAGCTTTGTTATATAAAGCCTGTTACACAGCAATAATGGAACAGAGGCCTAGTTAAGAATGACATTAATTTTCTATATATTTATATTTATGTTTATTTCTTAATTGTAAAAAAAGTACAGTTTCTATTAAGGAGACCTGTGTGGCTTTTTCATGTCTGCAACCAT